TCGTCCGCCATATTGGATTGCTCATGAAAATAGTCTCTAATGCGCATGCGTCCGGTTTTTCCGCTCTGTCTTGTTCCTGTATTCTCTAAGGAATGAAAAATTTTAATATGAAAGAATTTTAAAAACTATTATGGTTTAGAGTCGGGGGTGAAGCGTCATCTAGCTTCCAGCTTATTGGACTTCACAAAATGCCAAAACTTAGTGTCCGTGCTTGAAACTTAAGGCTAATTCTGTCATGTTGTGTTTGTTAATACAGCATCTTGGTCTGACAAAAGAATATATTTGCGAAATTTTTTGTACATTTATTTTCTCACTCAAACTCTTCAAAATCCTTAGAAAACGTGCTTGAAGTGCACTCATGCGCAAACGTTTTCCCCTGGTGTCAGGACGACCTTTTTTATAAACGGGTTGGCCAGTGACGTCACACTTTAACAGCTCTATTGTTAAATCCCAATATAGTGGCCCGTCAAATGAAGACCATCACTTATTCATTAGCATCAACCAAGTGCATGGAAGAAGGATGGACAGTCAAGCCACMATCACCTGCACCTTCTGAAGGTGACGATGCTTTTGATCCCTTTGTCATTGAAGTCAATCCCATCCAACAGGTAAGCTACGACCTCAGGTGTTTCCATAGCGACAATTTTAAATGACAACGCGCTCATAGCGCATGGAGTTAAACCTGACTTTTACTGAGTCAGAAACAGTATATTGTCTTGTCTCAGTCACGGAATGGCCAACTTGGATGGAATTGGAAAATTTATTGTCAGATGGTGGTAAATTTTAAGAAGAGAGGAAATCTGGTTTAAGTCAAAATCCAAGCTACCCCCCTGATCCTAGTCTCCCCCACAACCACTCTCAGTGTCGTCGCGCAACACTTTCTGAAGAAAATGTTGCGTGACGACACTGAAAGCGGCTGTGGGGGAGACTGCCCTGATCCATGCTACTAAATACTACGGATTTCATCGAAGTGTGGCACGCATTAAAAAATTCGTCTGCGAATTTGCCTACGAGACGCTGTGACTTCTCCCACTTGGAGGTGTGATTTTGTCTGCATTCCTTTCTCGGCTAAAACCGTGCAACGTTCAATTCGAAATTATGGCGGCGAGTAGAAGGTACGAGTTCAAAGTTGAGTATGGAGGCGGGGGAAGTTTTCAAGCAATTTCTGCGAATTTTCCWGGAAAAAATCCTGTTATGATATCCCAACCACTTTCAGCAATCTCATCTATAACGAGAGATCTCAAATCACTACTTATGCTCTTTCTCCTACTGTAAACACGACCAAGTTCGCTAATGTTCATTGTGCATTTCGCACATTGTGCATTTGGCAGACAAAATCACACCTCGTAGGCAAATTCGCAGACGAATTTTTTAATGCGTGCCACACTTCGATGAAATCCGTRGTAAAATGTACTACGCAGGTTCTTCCAAAACTCAACTTTCCTCCCAAGCAAAAGAGATCGTTGTATTGTAGGCAGTGTGTTAATACATTAAAAAAAATTTTTTTTTGTACTTGTTAGCAAAAGAGAGGTTTCCTGGAGCGGTTTTATGAAAATGGCCAAAGATTTCTTATAATCCTCCCTGATGGCACAGGCTGCTGCTAGTATCCTTGCATGCTCAAATCTCGATGTTGTTTCACTCTTACAGAGGAGGGGGGAGAGGGGAGGGGGTGACGGTTCTCGAGCCATTACCAGAGGAAACCCATAAACGGCGGGAAAATAATGTAAATATGGCGTCTCAACTTGAGGAAAATCAAATTTGAAAGCGTCAAGTAAACTGAGTGAAAGCATGTCTTCATAAAATGTTTTCAGTGTATTAGGAAAGGTCAATTTTTATTGAGGAGAAGGGCCATGGGGTTTCATAGGGGAGGGTCATCAGTAAACAATTTGTGCAAAAGGGTCATTACTACTCACCCCCCTCATCACCCCTGGAACCACACCTGATGTTTGTGAACATGTAACTTTTGCTTTCAAGTTGCAGTTCATTTAAATATCCTCAACTTCTTAATTCTAGACCTGTTTTCTCATTTCAGACCAGGTACCATTTTTCTATAGACTCCTTGCAGCACGTCNGGGGGGAGGGGGGCAAAACAATAAAGATTTTCTTATTTGGGGAACGAAATCTTTCTTTATCACTGTACAATTGTACTCTTGGTTCAGACAACCTGAATAAGAGACAGCTTATTATTTTTAGGTGGTACGGGGGAAGGGGGATTGGGGGGGGGACTTTGGGACCATAAAAAGAGGGGTCTTAAAATATTTAAAATAATAATAATTGAATTAATTGAAAGGGGGTTCAAAATAAAAAGGGCTCCAAAAAACGTTGGACATACTATTGGGGAGTTGGAAAAACCCCGATAAATTATTTTTTTCAAATTAATCCCATATATCTAGTATTTATTATCCAGATTTCATACGAAGGCAACAATATTTCTTTAACCAAGTACCTAGCTACCCAAGTGGTAATATCGCTGTTATTATCACCTCGACAGAAAAAGGAAAATTCACTTACCTAGCATTTGCGGTGAGATATATTTCCATGCGTTTTAGAATTATTTTGGCAGAACTATTCATTCTTAAGTAAAACTAATCTCGAATAGTCCCTTTCACAGTTCCCTTTCACAGTTCCCTGCACCATCTTGTGAAAGGCAGACATGCTTTTGTATTGAAGCGAGGCGAACGGTGAGCTTGGAATGATAGAGACCTTTTTTAACACCTTGAACAATTATTCACGTCTCTGTTGTTGCAAGCTCACCGTTCGTCTCGCTTTGATGCAAAGGCRCGGCTATCTTCCAAGATGGTAAAGGGAACTGTGAAAGGGACTATTGAAAAGAACGCAGATCGGTCATGGGTTGTAATTTACATGTTAACTTATAAGAGATATGTAACACACAACCACTCTATGATAGCATTTTTATAAACATTCCAAACTGTGCATCAGTGTATGATCGCGCCCTGAGTCCCGCCCTGAGCTAAGTTGCCTTGAAGGGAGGGGGGGATTGCTAAAGTCGAGGTCATCCGAATGTTCTTCCAAGTCGTGATTTATGTGTTCTTGAATGCGCGTAGTCTCCTACACAGCCGCTTTTAGTGTCGTCACGCAACGCTCACTCTCCTGCTGTTACTGCATAATAGCGGCTGTGTAGGAGACTAGAATGCCTGATGATTTGTGGAATGCCACTTCAACACCAACAGCATAGATAACGTTTTATGTTATTTTTATAGGACACTGATGATTACGGACGAACTCGTTCCAACATGCTTGCCGTATTTGATCCTTCTGGACATGGGACTTGCTATTTCCGCAACAGCGGTATAGTAAGGTAAACAGATAAACCTGACTCCAAAAAAGGGTTTTCTATCTTTAGTTGATCTTTTGAGTGAATCGTTATAATGGCATTTGAATTGCCTTGTCGTTTTGTCAGCCTTTCCAGTCTGCCTGCTTGTCTGTCTGTCTGTCTGTCTGTCTGTCTGTTCTTCTGTTTGTATGTCTGTTTATAATGTTTGTTTGTCTGTATAATGTGTCCATCTCTCGCAGTTTATTTTGACATTCTGGTCTTACTCAGTCCTGGCTTTTCTGTCCGTTTGTGCGGTTTATTTATTATTCTTTCTTACCTAGTTCTAACATGACTCCATTCACACCAGGTTGGTATTAGATCCCTATGGTGGTATCCTACTAGATACCTATGGTGCACGCAAGAAGAAATGGCTTTGGCACAACCTCAAGCAACACGTCCATGCACCTCCCTTTCAGCCAATCACATTCAGCATAACCAAGCAATTATCTGTACGATGTCTTACACAGGTATAGCTAAAACAGTTTATGGTTCCGACTCTTCTTAGTTACCGTTGCTATGTCCCACAAACTAGGATTTAGAATATATTGAAGAAATAGAAAACGCGCTCGCGTGCTGTGTGTAGTTATAAAGCACGCGGGGGTTGGTAAAAAAACAAAAAAAAAATCTAGATTATTTTATTTTATCTGTCGTCATGCAGACAGATATATCGTTATATCCTCCAAATTAGATAACTCTTAGGATTGCTGCAAGGGGTATTTCTTTGCTCTTTCTTTGCAAAATCAATAAATGAATACTATCCGTCAACAAAATTAAACCCCTACCTTATTTGCARCTTAAAAACTGCATTTTCTGATTACCCTTTATTTCGAGTTGTGATTCAAATGCCTTGCCTCGCTCAGAAACTGTGATGTTCACCTTCTTATTTTGTACGTATTTTGCGTTACTTTTTCTTCACAGGATAAGATTATATTGACCTTTAACCAGGGAAAGTACACTGCAAAGTTCAATGTTGGATCAAAACTGAAGGTGAGTTAACCTGTTTTATTTAACAATTGCCTTAAAATTAGAAGCTTGGGTATACAGTAGAAGCTTTGCACCATCACGTGATTGCAGCCATGATAGGAGGCAGGGACAATTGAATCTGGTCTAATCTGATTTACATGAGAATAAATTCAGTTTCCCCGGGGGAAAAAGAGGCTATTGTTGCGCCTCCTGCCATTGTTGCCATCACGTGATAGTGCAAAGCCTCTATAGTGCGCTTCTAAAGCGCTGCCTCTTACCGTTGATAGAGAATTTTTGAAAATTCTTTTTAGGCTGTTCGAGCTGCAAGACCTCCACTTGACAGGGTTGACTATGAAATCCATCTAGCAGAGTCCAAGCAATTTATTAAGTAAGTATTTATTTTCCATGATTTGGACGCCCATAAAACAACAGCGATTAAAACTAACACTTGATTATCTCACACTTGATTTGAAGCATTTTACTAGATCGTACCCAGAACGCCTTGCGGCTACCAAACTATCCACGTCTGGACAAGATCCCACTCCCTCACCGCCTCCAAAAACCAAAGCAACCCGGGAGAAGTAAACTAGAAGTGTTAAGGACTGCAAGCCAGGCTGACACTTCGACTGTTACAGTTAACTAGGACAAAATATATTTAAAGTTTATAGTTTATGAGCGTTAAAAATTAGGTTTTTAAAAGTGTTAGTTTTTGATATTTATATGTAAAGAAGTTCATTAAAAAACTTATTTATTCTTCCATTTGAGGCACGCGACAGCTTACTTCAAAGGACTGAATTGATTCGTTATTCTCACTGCATACATAAATAGCGTGTCACGTAGGAATTTAGCAAACCCCCATTTATGGACATTGGAGTTTGCGCAGTGCGGGTGTAATGCTTTGCAACCCCTTCATATATAAGCGCCACACCCAGATCCTTGAATCATTCCGTAGGAAGCTGCCTAAGGAGAGAGTAGAAGATTCACCCCACCCACCTCCTGGTGGCGGTTGACGCSGACGCATTGCATGCTTTTCGCATGCTGATTGCCAGCAGTGACGGTCACCTTCCATATCTTAATTCCCGTGACTCGGTAATGAGTATGCAGTGAGGATAAAATACTATCAAGGTGATATATCAGTTCTTGACTGCTTGATTCAAAGGGCATATTCGTAAAATTAACATGAATTACAGATCATCCCGTTATCTAGGATTTGTTTTTCACTTTTACTACGTACTACACAGATACCATTTGTCAACTGAACTTTCTTCACCTAAACGAATAATATATTTCAACACTTATAATACACTCTACAAAATTACTCGATTCTGATTGGGCAAGAGGAGTGCAATTAAATTCCAAATTGTACTCTGTAGAGTCCCAAATAAGTTTCTCAATTATAAACAAAGAATTGCACAATCTTCTCGTACGATTCGAAATTTATAGATACTCGTGATGTTTTCAAAGTTCTTAAATTGAGCTCGCCTATGTAAAAGGCTCGTCCAATTTTGAAAGCTTCTAAAACGTGCCGTGATTTCCTGTACAAATAGCTGATGAGCGCATCCCCAGGTATTATTGTATGCATATCATACGAGTTGCTGCAGTTTATACAAGTTGCTTACTTACAAATAGAGCAGTTTTCGTATGACTGTGAAAAGCTCGCGACACGGACGTGGTCGTGACACGACAAAAGGCATACAACAGACCAATCACATTGCGCCAGACTTTACTCTCAATCCAATCAAAYACCCGGAACAAGGCGCGGTCACGGCACTGCCAGACTTTAATCAAATTGCGCGAGAGAGAAAAAAATCAGCCAATTAAAATTCGTTCTAGAAAACATTTTTTTCAATAACTTACAAATTTCTCGCGCGCTGATTGGTTATTTTTATCATCAATAAGAGGACAGACAGATAAGGCGCGTGCGCTCTTTCCGTTGGTTGTTTTGATCACTAAAATTGAGAACTTTTTATCGTTTTTTTGTTATTGTAAAAAACAAATACGCCGAGTGGATCCGCATACTACTTTGACAATGTGATGACGAAATTTATCGTCAATAAGAGGACAGACATAAAAAAGTGATGTCTACTTGTTAAATGGTCACGGCAAGGCACCTATACAGCAATGTGGTTTTCACAGTCATAAGAAAACTGCTCTTACAAACGAGTTGCTCTTTCCGTGGCACATGTCGGAAAAAAATTATTACGACAGACTTCCGGGCATGGATTCACGATAGTTTTTAATTTTCGACGACTTCTTCACTAAAAAAATAATTATTCGATTTAAAGTATTTTATTTTTGGAAAATAATTCTCGCATATGTAAGGAGTGTTCCTTTTCTTCGGCACAGAATACTAACGACTTTCTTCCCAGTACTTCGAAAAATTATCCACAATCATGCACAGCTAGACACCGATCGATTAGTAAACGACCGGCAGTTTTTAATGGTTACCGAACAAAAACGACTCGTAATAGACTGAACGAGGAAAAAAGAAAGATGAAAGAAAGAAAGAAAAAAAGAAAAAAAAACGCGAAAATCAGTTAAGTAGGTAGTAGTTTTAGGTCACCCATCATGGTACTTACTTCACTCAACCGTACTTGACTCAATTTTATTAAAGCCCAAGCTTTTTTCCACTGGGCCACGGTTTCAGGTGAATCAGCATAACAATAGCCGTGAAAACAATGCACCGAATAGACTAGACTTTTTAACATTAATTTTTCAACCGATTCCGTGCGTGGCAGAGATGCAAGGGATTAGCCGATATGGTCTGGGGGCCGGCTGGTCTCTCCCCTGATGCTTCGGCTAGAACATTTTCTTGCGTAATTCGTACACCCAAGGGCAGAAGGATTTAATCGCCGTCAGGTCCGAAGTCCATACGCCGCCTCAGCTCTGCGGATGTTACGGGGGTATGGCAAAGTAGAATCGTTTTTTTCTCCTTTTTTTTCTTTCTTTTTTTTTTGTCGTTGGGTTCGAATCCCACTGTGTCCAGATAGTTAAAAAAAA